CCCCCCCTCCCCCCCGGGCTACTACTCAGCTACTCCGTTGCGTTGTAGGCAACAACAAAACGAATCTGTTCGGAGGGAGTGGCGGCGGCGCTTCGGCCTTTGGAGGCCTGAACTTGGGTGGGCAGCCGAACCCTGTGGCGCAGAACGCGCTGGGTGCCGGAGGCACCTTCGGAGCGTCTCCTTTCGCGTCGGGCGTGGGTGCGAATCCCTTCGGTGCCCCGGCGGTGGCTACTCCACGGAACCCTTTCGCAGCGACGCAGCCGTCAGCAACCCAGCCCACGAACCAGTCGCCCTTTGGGACCGCGCCCAAAACCGAGCAACCTGCGTTCGGCACCCAGCAGTTCGGTCTCTTCGCAGCGGCTCCCGCTAACCCCTTTGGAGCCGCAACCACTAATCCCTTCGGCTCTACCGCCAGCAACCCATTCAAGCCTTCCGCCTCAGCTGCAACTGGCACCGGACTCACTCCAGATGCAGCTGGCGTCGGGACAACTGGCATCGGGACCGCACTGGGAGCCCCAAGTGGGACCGCACTCGGAGCCCCAAGCGGGACCGCACTCGGAGCCCCAAGCACGACCGGGAGCTTGTTCGGCACGCCGTCTGGCGGTTTGTTCGGAGCCGGTGCCGCAAAACCCGCCAGTGGCTCGCTCTTTGGAGGCGCTTCTGCAGCCCCGAGTGCCAGTCTCTTCGGCACAGCGGCCCCCGTTGGCGGCAGTCTCTTTGGGGCGACTTCACCCTCAGGGACTGCGGCCTCCGCCGCTGCGCCGCTGCCAGCGGCCACTGGGATGTTCGCAGCCGCTCCACCTACCATTCCGACGCGGGATTCCGAAAACGCAGCAAAAAATATGGTCACGAAGCAGCTGCTCAAATTGAGCCTAGAGGAGATCAGCGCACTCAAGGTGTCCGCGCGGCCCATGCGTGTGCAGGCTGCCTGCGACGCAGAGTTCGGCAAAACGCAGTTTTCGGTACGTCATACCACCACACCATTACACCCAAGAGGAAGGGTGTGGACCAGGACCGACACCCCAGAACGCGTTCTCTTTTTCAGGTCGGGCGAGTGCCAGAAGTGGCCCCGTCAGTCAGTTAGATAGTTGCCAGTTGGTAACCCTCCTGCTCCGTTTCTTGACCCTGATTAAAGAAGAGTGTAGCTAGACAACAAGTGTGCAAACAGGTGCGTGCGTGCGTGCATTCAAACAAGTATGTGCGAGTAAGTGTGTGCAAGTAAGTGCGTGCGAGTAAATGTGTGCGAACAGGTGAGGTTCGCAAAGAGGTGAGGTCGGCGCACAGTCGAGCGCCGAGTGTCCAGGTGCTTACTCGGGTTGGGGCACGACAGGTTTGCGGCGTTTCCTTTTCTGGGGCAGTTCGTCGTCGGAGCTGAGGGTCAGGGGCCAGGGGTCCTCCTTCTTCTTGCCCCGTACTCCAGGTTTGCGTTTGGCGCTGGCCTTGAGGGCTGGTTTCCGCCGACCGCGCGGCGGGTCGGGTCTCTCGGGACTGCTCACATCCAAGCCTTTTCGGTTCAGGTCCTCGGGCGGTCCGAGTCGCTCTGTGGCGAAGGTGCATGTCGCCCGGTAGCCTTGTTTGCTCAGGAGCAGAGCGTCGTCCATTAAAGCCGCGCTGTCCATGAAGTCCGCCACCGACAACACCTGCTGGTCCTCGTAATCACTAAGGTTATCATCACCGAAGTTACCGTCAGGGAGGTTATTACCGTTAAGATCAGCGCTAGCTAGATCATGGCTAGCGCCGTTGAGGTTATTCCCGAACGATTGGTGGTTGTTCCAGAGTTGTGGGCTTCCACAATCGTAGCCAGAGTACACGGGGTTGTCGTAGCTGCAGTAGACGGTTTCGCCTGTGGGACCCTGACCGCCGTACAGGGGTCGCTGGAGCCCCTGAGCGGGTCTATCGACGCAGACGCCGCCTTCGCTCTCCCACGTTCCGCTGCTCCACAAGTTGTACGTCTGCGGTGCTGCCGCGTGAGGGCTGGTGAGCAAGGAGGGTGTGGAGCTGTTGCTGAGGGACATACCACACTTGCCCGACAACTCCACCTCGCCGAGAGGACCCGCCTCGCCGAGAGGACCGGCCTCGCCGAGAGGACCGGCCTCGCCGAGAGGACCCGCCTCGCCGAGAGGACCCGCCTCGCCGAGAGGACCCGCTTCGTCGAGGTGGGTCCCCGCATGAGTAGCAGTGCACGTGGTCAAGAAGGAAGCACAGGCACTAGAGTCCGAGGCCGTGGTCGACTCGTTGCTCTCGCCTTTGACAGCCTGTTCGGACTCCACGGGAAGAGACAAGGCAGTTGGAAGGGACAAGGCCTCCGCCGGAAGTGACGAAGACTCCGCTGCAAGGGACGAGGACTCTGCTGGAAGGGAGAAGGTTTCTGCACAGTGCGTAACGCCTTGACCATAGGCAAGCAAATCATCGACTTGGCCTTGCCGGCTTCGCCACTGGCTCGTGGGGTCCATGCGCGGCGCAGCAGGCAGATGTGCAGGAGCAGCGGCCAAATGTGCGGTGCCGGGAGGGTCCACGGTTGCTTCAAGGAGACTGAAGTTGTAGCTGCTGCACTGCAACCCCTCTTGGCTCAGTGAGGCCGACAGTCGCCGGTCCGGGACAGCTGGGCCAACCATGGCCGCGACGACTGCGTTTGCGATCGGGTGTACAGGAGGTGTTTGACCGCATCGGCTGTGTACCCTGGAGGTGGATCTGACGGCGGAGGTTACTGAGCCCGAGGTTAACGAGCACGATGTTACGGAGGAGATTATGGAAGAGGAGATTGCTGAAGACAGTGCACCGCACGAGAGCGCATCACCCGAAGCCGCACTGCACGAGAGTGCACTGGACGATAGTGCAGAAGACGAGCCGATGTCGGAGTGACTTCTTGCGAACGAACTGAACAGTTCGGCGCAGCCCCGGTCCTGGCTGTGATTGTTTGAAAGCGTGGCCGACAGCAATGCCGAGCCGTCCTCGGGGATCTCTGTGCTTGAGTTATAGCGGTATGCAACTCCACAGAGCGCATGTCCACCTGTACTGTTTCCAACCATTCCATTTGCACGCATTACACTCCCATGGCTCAGTTCGCCTGGACCGTGGGTCAGTACGGCTGGACCGATTCTGTCGCCTGGGCCGATTCTGCCGCCCGGGAAGGGATATCTGACTAAGTATTTGTTTGAGACCCCCAAAGGCAGTACGGGTGCCAAAGGCGGTGGGGAGTGTGGGAATCTCATGATGAACATAACGGCCTTCAAATTGACATCCACGCACTCAAACACAACCACGCGTGGCAAGGGGTTGCTCACGACCGATGGCGGTAGGACAATGTCAGTATCATAACGTCGGAAGCTTAGGGACCGTCCCCCCGTGTCAACGATGCAACTCGTGCCAGTCTCGTCCAAGGAATTAGATCCCGAACAAGAAGTCGTCACACCAGGTAGCAGATGTCTCAACGTAGGTCCGAGGGATTCACCACGTACGCCGTCACTATCCCTCACCACGGCGCCACTACCGTCCACGGCGCCACTACCGCTCAACATGCTGTTACAAGCCAGTATGTCACCGGGCGCGGAAGCGTCGAGGGCAATCAACGACTTGGTCTCCAATGTACGAGAAACCATGGGCCCCAAACAAAGTCCAGCAGAATCCATTGTTGACCTGGGGTCCATTATCCTAGAGTCCATCGACCCAGGATCAATCGACCTATGGTCCATCGTCCTAGAAAGTATCCTACCCGGGTGCAAGGCCAGTTCGTCATTGTAGGGCAGATCTGAGCAATTTCTTCCGTCATGTCTCGCACCGTCCAGACGACAAGGAAGCGCGCGTTCCTGGCCATGGCTGCCCTGGCCATGGCTGCCCTGGCCATGGCTGGCCCGGCCATGGCTGCCTTGGTCGTGGCTGCCTTGGTCGTGGCTGCCTTGGTCGTGGCTACCTTGGTCGTGGCTACCTTGGTCGTGGCTGTCTTGGTCGTGGCGGTCAGGGGCACGTGCAGCGAGTGTTTTTCTTTCGACGCGTGCCTCCGTGCCCAAGTTTAGCACTAAAGAGTCCACGGTAGTAAAGTGATCCCGTCTACCACCGAGCATGTTGAAGTTGGCTGTCTTATTGACGGAATTGATTGAGCAGAAGGCTCCTCCGTGGTTGAGTGCAGCTTCGAACCCGTGAACGGAAAGTTCATTGGGATCGTCCTGCCATTTGTCAGTTTTATTCTGAATCATATACTGCATCCATTTTTGCACCGTCTTCTTCGTATATCTTTGTCGCTTTCGATCCGAAGAGATGATACGCCAACCCCCTCCCTCCATAGCTGTACACGTATCCGTTGGAGCACCTGTGCCCATTATAGCACACGCGTCCATTGCGGCACAATGATCCGTAGGGCCGCGATTGTCCATCGTTGAACACCCTCCCATTGGGCACCTATCCATTGCACCCCCACGCCCACTGGTTAGTGAAGTGCTATTTATTTCGCCACCAATCATTTCGCCACCAATCATTTCGCCACTAGCCATTGCGCGATTCTCCATGCTTGTATACCGCAGGTTCCGCTCGCTCCATTCGTTCCATATCCGGGCCGCATGTAAAATCTGAATAGATTTTGACTCAATCTCGACACCAACGTTCAGAACGTATTTAACAAGCTCTATATTCTCTTTACTCAACGGTGGTCCGTCAGTCCTTCCATCTAAAGACTGCAGGCCATTCCCGTTGGTCTGACTGGAGGCTATGCTGTTCAGCATTTGACCAAATGCTGAGTCTCCGCCTACCCTTGTTTTTAAACTATGCACCTACAAGGACCCTTCTGTGGGCACTACCCTCCAGCAGATATTCGCCCATCAAGGAGAAAGCGGGCTTACTCTTTGTCGGTGGTAACTAATCTGATGTAGCTGGTTACTTAATAGCCATTTTCCTATTTCTTGTAGCTCCGGTCTTACAATTCCCGCTAGTGCAGCTTCGCAAACTCGAATTTTACTGGTAGCAGTGACTCTGCCGCAGGGGGATTTTGTCTCGAGAGACCTACGTTCACTTACTTCTTTTGGGGCATCAAATTTCATTCCCTATCACCGTAATGCGCCCTGGGTCCGTTAAACTGGTTTGTGCACACGCGTGTGCTAATGAGCGCCGATGCTTTTTCTAATAACTATCTAGCCCTAAATCGGTGAGTTATGCGAGGTTTTTTCATTGCTGCGAAGTGATCTAGATATATTAGACGCGCCCATGAGTTCGGGCGGGCGTCATTACACTCGGGACATGGTCGATGAGACTTTCTCTCGTTACGAAGGAGTCCCTTACCAATCTCTCGCCCATCCGCTGTCGATCGACCAGCCTGACCTCAGCGAGCAGGACAGAATGTCAACGGAGGAACAGATGTATGCATTTTTCGGAGGTTCGTTCTTGAAGATGGTGTTCGAACTATTTCGAGGCTGCATCTCCGGCCATGTCTAACTAACTAACTAACTAGCTTACTGAAACCGTCTCCCGGAAGAAGCCTCATCAACCTCGGTTATCCATCCGTCCAGCAGCACCCGACTCCTGGTAGTGACTTCTTCTGTCCAGAGACTACGGTTGGTCGTCAAATTCGTACGACTGATGCTAAAGGTGCCGCCACTGACGGCGTCGTTTTGAACGTCAGAAACCGCGACATCTTTTTCTCGCTCAGAGTAGCAGCGATCCCGAACAGAGTCGTCTTCATCGCGACCATCATCATCGAGGCGGTCATCTCCACCGAGACGGTCATCCCTGAGGAGACGGCGGTTAGGTAGGGACTGATTTTCCTGGCCCGGAACAGACCATGCCTGCGGGAAGCAGTCTTGGTCGAGGGGGTATTCGGAGTTCCGCAGCTCAGACGTCTTCAAGCCGTCAATTGCGTCGTCGCCGACCGCCGCATTGCCGAGAGTGAAATCCTCGTTTAGACGCGGGCTCCCGTTCGAAGCGTCAACGCGCGGCGGAGACCAGTAGTACCCCCGGCCTTGGCCCAGGTCGTCTTCGCTGCCCTCCGAGTTCTCCGTGCGTTCTCCCTCACACTCTTCGCCATACCCTCCACCATACCCTCCGTCGGTCTCACCCCATCCAACCCTTGTCTGGCCGGCGCTACCAACTGCCAACCCATCTAGCGTCGCCGCGTCAAGATCCTGTCCGACTACCTGGGGTCGCTTGTCTTGCCCGCACGCTCCGGCGTTGCTGATAAAGCTTCGTGCGCGCTCCAAACTGGAACGGGTATTCCTCTCCGACAACTGCCGGCCACCTTCCCGTCGAGGGTATCGCCGGTCGTATCTCGGCACGGAGAGGCGGCTGTTCTCTGCCCCCCGGGTGTTCTCCCCCGCGCGGCTATTCTCCGTCACCCGGCTGTTCTCCGTCGCCCCGCTGTTCTCCCCCCCGCGGCTGCTCTCCCCCCCGCGGCTGTTCTCCCCCCCTCTGCTGTTGCGTCTAGCATTCAGGCCGGCCGCGGTGACACTGCCTGACTGCTGGTGTCCAGGCCATTTGTTTCCTTCCTTTGCGAGCATCTCCTCGGCGCGTCCCAGAAGGTAGCTGCTGGTCCGGCGGGGTGTAGTTTCGCTCCGTTCACTAGCGGTCGACTGACAGTCCTTCATTATCTGTTGAATCCGGGCCATGGCTCGTTGCGTGAAGTACGTTTGGGACGGCAGTGTGTTCCTGGAGCCGTTCCGTGGGACGGGCACAGGAGTGGGCTTGAGGGAGTCGTCCTGCGAGGTGGTCTGCGAGGTGGACAATAAACTGGATGAGGCTCCGGCAGACGGAGTGACGGAAGAGGGGAGCATCGAAGAGAGGAAGGGAGTGCCGTCAGTGACGGCCGACACTTGTATCGAAGGCATTGTGCCGCTGCTGGGCGTGACACTTCCCCCGTCACTGCTGGTAGACGGCAACAGACAAGTGACCGTCGACCTGGAGCCGCGGTCGCTGCTGGCCGTGCAGAACGGGTAACGGTCACCGCTGGAGCCGTGCTGACTGACGGTGGAGCCGTACGGGCTGATGGTCGATGCGTACGCGCTAATGGTCGAGGCGTACTCCTCCCGCGCTTGTTCGCCGCCTGCGCGAGGACCATTAACTGCTTGGACGCCGCTAATCGCTTCGAGGTCGCGTGCCGTGATTTTAGGCAAGTAGCTGGCCGAAGACGACGGCGAACTCAGTCCCCGCGGCAGCGGAGGCTGGGAGGAGCCAGTAGACCACTGCGGACCTGTGCTGTCCTGGAAGGTGTAAACCGACTCGCCGCCTGGCAAGCCGGCGTGGCTGTTAACTAGATGGTCGGCGTCTTCACTTAGGAATGCCGGCGTGAATGCCACTTGCCGGACACCTTGCCGCGGCGAAAGCGGGACTCGGTCCCGAGGAATGGCGGAAGACAAGGTTGCGGGCGACGAAAACGTGGCAGCCGAAGACAAGGGTGCGGCTGACGACAAGGTGGCGGCTGCCGACAGCGGCGGGGCGGACGATTCCTGCTGCAGTCGGTCTTGCCATTCTTCAAGCTTTGCTCGCAAGGCCGCTGCTAACTTCGCTTCGTTCAAAGCGGCAGTTTGGGCCGCCTTCCGCGCCGCAACGGCCTTCTGCAACATCACTGAGTGAGAGTTCAACTTTTCTCGTAACAACTTGTTCTCCAATTGCAAATTATAAACCTCCATCGACAGCTTCTCCACCGTCGACGTTCCGAGCTCCACAGAAGGAGTCGGAGGCATGGTTCGGGCGTCACCCTCATTAATCGACAATTTCTCCGCCAACTGAGTAATCAAAAACCGGTTTCTTGCCTTAAGGTCAGTCAGTTCACTCTGAGCGACATCTAACTTACGCTTGTGGTCTTTGAGCAAACATTTGTACTGGTCATTCGCCTTAACCACGTCATCCTTTTCAAGCAGCGCTGCGTCTTCAGCCTGTTCTGCCTGCTTCACAGCGGCTTGAAGTTCCTCCAGCTTGTCTACGGCTTCCTTCGATCCTTTTTGGGAGACGTCCAAAAGTGTGTGCAAACGATTGATTTCCAGATCTTGTTCGCGCAATTTGGTTTTTGTTTCTTTAATATTCGAGTGAAGCCGATCCATGGTCTCAGACAGCACGGTATTATCCTTCCTCTGTTTAGCCATCTCCTCTTCCAGCCTCTGTCTCGAGCCTCGTTGTTTCGCCAGCTCATATCTCAGTGTTGTAACTTCCTCCTTGGCGTCCGCCAGAGCACGATCTGTAGCGATGAAGCTAAGTTGTGCATTTTCTAGTTGCTTCTCGACGTCAGCTAACTTACCCTTCATAGTTTGATACTCAGCCAGATCATGTTGTAACAGCTTTATTTGCTTATCGGATGAAATTCTATTCTGCTCAAGTTCCCTAAACTCTCCTTCGAATAGCTCAATACGTTTGACGAGCGAATTGAGTTCTTGGTCGCCAACCTCGATAGCTGATTTCAGTTGTTCAATCTGCTTATCTTTCTGAGTCAGCTGGAGTTCCAAAGACGATAGCTGACGTTGTAGAGAACTAATTTCGCAACCTTTCCTCTCGAGAGTTTCAACCAAATGCGTTCGATCATTGCCCTGACCATTATCTCGTACAACATAACACTCGACGTCTTCATTGGTGCCTCCGCCAGTATCATCAGCAGTCGTAGTCGCGAGAGGTAGGCATTGCAATTGACACTGTTTCAAATGTGTTGCAAATGACTTTTCAACATGCCGCAACTCAGCTTCTAAACTTTTCTTCTCTTCTTTGAGCTGTACAAGCTGTCGTCCTTCATTCTCACGCTCCTCAGACGATACTCGTTCTCGTTGAGTCGCCGATAGGAGTTCTTTAATCTGCTGAACATCCTTAACCAACTTCTCTTCAAGATTCAGGAACACTTTAGAACTGATGCTCAAACTGGAAGTCGACCCGCCACCTAATAAATCAGTAATAACCTTATCCTTCTGATCCATCTCATCCTTCAGGCGGTCCCTCTCAGCCACTATTCTCCAGTAATCCAAGAACTCCGATTTTTTCTCAGACTTCTCTGCCTTTTCCACGTCCAACAAAATCTGCAACAAACCTGGCAGACTACTCCTTCTCTCATTCACCGAACCACTCCTTCTCTCATTCACCGAACCACTACCTATAGCACTACCCAGAGCATCGTTCAGAATAAATACCGCGGTGGAAGCAACGTGCGTCAAACGATATAACTTGTGTTTAACCTCATCCGTACATCGCTCAAGAGCCAACGAGGAGGGCGCGTCATTGCTCAGTAGCTGAATCTGCTTCTCCAGCTCAAGGACCTTTGCATTGCGCGACTCGATTCTAAAGTTAAATTGCGTGACTACACGCGTGTGCACACGCGTGTGCACACATGTGTATGCACATGTGTATGCGCGCATATATTGGCTTCGGCCAATGTTGTGACTGTTGTTCACTAGTGTGATCCACTGGTGTGATCGCTGTACAGGTGATGAGCAGTTTTGCCGTATTTTGCGCCCTTAAGAACATCTCGGAGCAAGTTTCCAACCAAATCGGCAGAATCTTGATTCACGGCCCCAGAATACCCCGCCCTGGTCAGCTGGAGACGAAGATCGTCTAAGGCCGACTCTGTCCAAGGCGGCTGCTGGAATTTCCCAGCTAGCATTTTCGGAACGCTTGGTTTTTACGTGGCATGGTTTCGACCAGACTGCAGCAATTTTGGGAATGGAGGCACCCTTCACTTTTTACCAATCATACCCGATAAGTATGTTACGAACAGTGGGGTGTGGTATATATCAGGAGGAAACCAATCCTTGTAGATGTGTTGACGAAACATTTGATACGGCCGGAAGCATTACCAGCCGTTGGTCAAGGAATGGAGCGACAGTTTGATCTGACAGGAGCGTCGGCCACGAGCAGTCGTATGTGTGAGTGGTTGCCGTTATGTCACCATCAGGCGCCGGAGAAGTTATACAAGCCTTTAGAAAATGGCGCAATCTACCATACGACTACCAATCAGATTTTAATTCGACATGAGGCGGAGGAGGCGGAGGAGTCGGCAGCACCATTTTATATTGGGTGTGACGCGATCCCAATTGCGGTGAGTTCGTCTTTGGTAAGGACGCGCCAGGAGAGTGAGGGTCAAGCAACGACAGCCTATTCGGGTTCACTATATCTTGGGCAGATCTGCAGTTTTCTCCCGACATTGGAGATTGCCTTGATTCGCTCGATCCAGAACGAGTTTTGTTTCAGCGAGATCTCCCACGTGCGCAAGTGGGCGAATTGTTCGGTGCAATTTGATGTGTTCCAGAGCCTGTATCCCCTGATAGTGAGCCATACCCCCGAAGCCGAATCGCGGCTGAGGCTCCAGAAGGCAGTCTGCACCCTCGACGCGACGGATGTTCAGCGGTGCTGCCTTCGAATTCATGCGCCGCTACGGGACGGAAAATCACAAGGTAGAAAGCGGCCGAGCTTCTACGTCTTGTTTTTCAAACAACTGGACAAATGGAAAAGCTGCACCGAGAACCTGGACGAGCGGTTTCCCATCCACGGTACGGACTTCATTAACAGCAATGAGGCGCCGAAATCAGAAGCGGAAAAAAGCAGTGGCCGGACGTTCCACGACGAAGATCGCGACTACTACCTCCTCGCAGTAGTACCCATATACGACAATCGCCCTTATCACGACCTTCCCGCTATCTTCTGTTCCATGGCCGACCGCATTGTAATCACCGCCGCTCGCGTGGGCACCGTAACCATGTTCCAGGTCCTCACTGTCAAGTTTGAGTCGCTGCAACCACTTTCGCTCCCTCGCTGGAACAAGAGATACGACCGAATCCTATCAAACGTGAAGCTCCAACCGGCTGCCTCCCAACTCCCTACGTCAGACTGTACGGCTACAATCTCTCCGGATAAATCCCAGTCACTAACAATCAAACCGCATACGGCTGTCTTGAAGAAAATACTCGACTTCCTCACCAGGGTCGATCAGGACCCTTTACGAGCTGCTCTTTTGCTGCCTCAACTGAGTTACTATCCTCGTGAACGTGTAAATAAAAGGGGAACCGGCAAGTGCTGGTTAGTCTACAAACACGACAAGGTGGCTTCTTTGGAGATGCCTCCTTCACGCAAGGCAGCGGTCGGCAAGGCAGCGGTCGGCAAGGCAGCGGTCGGCAAGGCAGCGGTCGGCAAAGAGGCTGCTGGGACGGGCACGGAAGCAGGCAAGGCCAAAAAGGGAGCTAAGAAACCTAAGCCTGACAAGTTGGTTACCAAGGTGGGAAACACGACGATACGAGTGCAAAATTGGGAACCGTTGACATTTGGCGTCGGACCAATTTCTCCGAAAGAGTTTCCAGTGGAGGCGACAGCTACCAGTGACTATATAACAATATACCTCCCCAATACTCAGGCAATTCCAGTCAGTGGTCCATGTCTTTCAGTCGTCGAAATAGAGTAGTTCTGAATAGAGTAGTTCCGAATAGAGTAGTTCCGAATAGAGTAGTTCCGAATAGAGTAGTTCCTTTACACTATTTGTGTCCACTATTTGTGTCGATCTTTTTTCCCAAAGTTCTAGGTTGTTTCTACAGCTGTCTTTGGGCTGGTTCTCAGGTCGGGATTTTTTAAGTTAATGTTGGTTGGTGCTTGCTACCCTACTAGTGAGTTCCATCATATTTATTATGACTTGCTTGTGTAGGTATATATACACAATTACTGTTGGAGCCTGAAAAGTATCCTGCCCAGGTAGTGCGGGAGTATTGCGGAGGCGAGTCATATGGCTGTAGCCGGATACCGCCATGGGTGCGACTGTGTCAGCCAATAGGGCCGGGTCCCGAGAACGAAAAAGCGGTTACCGGTACCGCGACCCCAACCGATGAAGGTGGTCAGGGCGGTGGCGGTGGTCAGGGCGGTGGCGGTGGTCAGGGCGGTGGCGGTGGTCAGGGCGGTCGTGTTGGAGGTCGTGTTGGAGGTCGTGGTGGAGGTGTTGGCGGGAGGCTTCGGAATGGTGGGCAGCAGACCCCGCCTGTGCAGACCCCGCCTGTGCCGCGTCTGGCAGTCCTGCCTGGAGATCATGTTACTCTACTTTGGAATAACGAGCAACCGAACCAAGTGCTTCCTGACTCGCCGACCTTTCAGAAGTTTAACATCTACCAAACGTGTTGCCCTAACCAGTCATTCTATGGCGACCATTTAAGTTCGAGCATAGAGCGACCCGACCAGTCGATATGCATGCTTACGTGGCAACAGATCTATTCTTTTTGTAGTATCCATGATCTGGTTAAAATCCGATCACTCCTAGCTCAATTAATTGGAAGCAGAAACAAGAGTCAAGGTGACCATCAAGGTAAAGTGGTTCCCCAAGGTAAAGTGGTTCCCCAAGGTAAAGTGGTTCCCCAAGGTAAAGTGGTTCCCCAAGGTAAAGTGGTTCCCCAAGGTAAAGTGGTTCCCCAAGGTAAAGTGGTTCCCCAAGGGGGACAAGTATCTGGTAGAAGTGTTTGTAGATCATTTACAAAGATCTTGGTTCACCTGGAATTGTACAGCAGTCATGAACGGTTAGCTAAACCAGTGGAGATTGACTATTTTCAAGAGCTAGTGAATTTTGATTCTAGAAATTTGTCAAGATTAGCGTTCAAGGTCCACTGGCACTGCTCCTCTCAAGTGAGCCAGGAAAGGCGTCCGGGTCGTATTACAATCTTTTTTTACAGACTCACAAGCAATGCCAAGACATCATCCACCAAGACATCATCCACCAAGACATCATCCACCAAGACATCATTTGCCGGTTACTCTCGCTTTTACCGAAGTGAATTGCCGTGCAGATACAAGGACATAACGTTATCTGGTTATGAGCTAATTGATTACATTGTAGCACCACCATTAGCATTCCACGAAGTACGAACCGACCACTGGGACTTACCAGGCGATTTGTGTGACCAGTCGGACAGAATAGTTATCTCCTATCAGAGAGGACTGGCTGCCGATTGGTTCGCACAGGGCGTGGCCTGTACGACTATTTCCTCCATCGAATTGCTCACATGTCAGTTCCACCATTTCAAGCCATTCAACTTATCCAAGTGGTGCAACACATACAACAATTTACAGCTACACAAACCACCACTAACAGCTACACTAACAGCTACACTAACAGCTCCACTAACATGTCATGAGTCATTAATGGTCGATTTTGGTATCAGCCATGTCGACTTGAAGAAGTGTTTGTTGAAAGTATATCGAGCGTACAAACCCAAAACAAAAAAATCCACTCTTGTCCAAGCCAACCCAGCGTCTGAGTCCGTCTACTTCCCACTGAAACTCGACTCTGCTCCGAATGTCGAGTCCCCTCCAAATGTCGAGTCCTCGCCGAAACATTGGAATCGAGGTGACTCGGAGGGCGACACGAGATCGGACACGCCTGTGCTGCAGCCCACTACCCGACTCGGTCGCCACCATTCACCGAACCAGTTCTCGCCTCGAGGTTGTCTGGCGTCAGTGCGGGAGGCACTTCGAATGTGCAAATTAGATGTCACTCTTGCGGCTGCGGGACCCATGGCTGTCGGTGGTAATAGTCTTGTGGAGGGCAGCAGTCTTGTACATAATATTATCCTGGGAATCCCACGTCGCAATTGTCCTGGGAATCCCACGTCGAGGATCTATGGCCTTGGGACGGCTGCGTCCTGGGTAGGTACTATCTTGTCAGTACGACGGCGTCGCAGCCGGAACGCCGACAGGAGGCCGGGACAGTACCTATCTCGAAGACGATGGACTAAAGGCATGCTGACTTTGCCTGCTCCGTTCCGGGGCACTGCTCCGCTCCGGGGCACTGCTCCGTTCCCGGACACGAAGGAGTACGGGGGAGCCTGGCCCTCGCAGCCCAGGTCCTCACAGTCCAGGCTTTCGCAGTCCAGGTCCTCGCAGTCGGAACCAATCGCTCCTGTCTTACAGCCTGGGTTCCAGACCCAAGTTGGCACTCCTGTCTGTGCGCATCGACATCTGCTGCAGCCGCGTCCGCACGTGAAGGTGTTGCGGCGCATACTTGGCTACCTCGGGCGGTTCGAGCAGAACCCTTTACGGTCGTGGTTGTTGTTGCCGGTGTTAGCTTCAGAGCCATCGCAATGGGCCAACCGGCGCATGACGGGCCAAGTGTGGGCGATCGTAAAGCCTGCGCCGGGGGCTAGGTGCATCGACGTCCTTGGCTTCAAGCCTCTGAGTGCTGTACGTCTGGATGCAGACGTCCCGCCGCGCCGACAGAACCCCGTTGCCTTCAATTCCTTCCGCCAACTTCAGTTCGATAACGAAGACCTCTTCGCGGACGCCGAACCCCAGGACCTGGCAAACGGCCAAGATTTGATGGATGGCGGTCTTGGTCAAGATTCAGATGACCAAGACCCAGAGCCACCAGAAAACCGCCAGAGGCGGAAAGTCATACACTCTATTCCAATCAACGACGCAGCCGATAACCAGCTCTGCGACCGACCCGTCAAAATCCACCTCCGCAATGCCCCAGGCTTCCCCATCTTGGCACCTGGCCACATCTACCGCTGCTTCGTCGCCGAAGTCTTCTGACCACTGTTTTCCCACCCCTCTTCCCGATGTCTTGAGCTGAATGAATCGCAGCTTAAGTGAATGAATCGCAGCTTAAGTGAATGAATCGCAGCTCAACTGAATGCCCCCCCCGAACAGTAACGCTGCAGCTGACGCTGCAGCTGGAGTGACATCAAACGGTGTGCCAGTGATAGGTTAAGTCCACCGACGAAGCCAGATTCGCTTTCGGCGAACTGGTCTGCCGGTCGGATTGCCCGTTAAAAAAAAGCCGTGGCAGACTGGGCGAGGGCCACGTACGGGCGGCCCTTCTCCCAGTCGGTCACTTGTCTTGACATACTTGTTGTCGTGGCCACGGCTTCCAGCCCCGACAGACTTGGTAGTCGTGACAGACTTGTAGACTCGTAAGTACATGTATACAATCTTAGCTGAACTCAGTCAGCTTTGACATTCAATCTTGATTCGTGTGTATCTGATCGTCATAGTATTTTTGGTTGTTATTACGTAAGCCATAATGTCCCTAAATCATAATGCTCCTGCGCAATGTGCAGTTGGGTGTCAACTGATTGCGTTCCTGGCAGTAGGAGGGAGCAGATGCTGGCTCATAAAATGGGTTGCTAGGAAGGTATGTTGACGGCCGTGAAGATTCTGGCAGACCAGAGACCAGCAGCGATACCGAAAAGGACGCAAAGAACGACGAGTGACATCGCCCTAGATCTCCAGTTTTCTTGAGGAAGCGTGCTGGGTGTTCGCATGTAGACTGAGGTTAGAATCCAGCCGTTTGTAAGTGAGAGAAGCGCCATCAGAATCATGTGCAGAGTACGACTCCCCCAGAACGAATTGAGGGGGAATTTCCAACACAGAACTGCAAGAGGCAACAAGATTGTTCGTGCCCCCGACACGACGGCCGCCATCCAAATAGGCATCAGTGTAAACGAAAGAATGTTCGGCAGGTAACGCCCGATTAAATCACCGACTTGGAAAGTTCCAAGTGTATAATTCGTAAAGTCTCCTTCATTCCAATTAATGGGACCAATATTAGGGAAGAACTACAGTAGCATAGACACTCGAGTGTTGCACGGCACGGGTTGATGTGTTGCACGGCACGGGTTGAGTGTTGCACGGCACGGGTTGATGTGTTGCACGGCACGGGTTGAGTGTTACACGGCACGGGTTGAGTGTTACACGGCACGGGTTGATGTGTTGCACGGCACGGGTTGAGTGTTGCACGGCACGGGTTGATGTATTTATTATGTTTGTGATATGTCCTCCGCCAAGAGTGTGTGTTGAGTCTTACGAATAGACTTATGAACATGCACCAGAAAGTGGTACACATTGGAAGCCAGCTAGACTTGAAGATGAACAAGTAGCTTGGGGCATCGGGATCGTTGGCCTCTTCCTTGAGGGACTTTCGTACCTGGGCGACTCTCCGGGCGATTTCTGGTTTGCGAAGGAGGAGCCAGAAGAAGTATGCTGAGGTGAGGGTAATGCCGCAGCCTATGGCCATGAGTGTCCAAAGTGCTGGTTTGACGTCTAGCTTGGAATGTGAGATGATCTGCCAAAGGGCAAAAGTTGCCACGCCAGTGACGCCTTGTCCCGCTGAGACATACCCCGTGAGGCCTCCTTGCCCAACCACTGAAGCAAGACCGCATGCACCGGTCTGGTAGAAACCAGAGCAAGCACCAGCAACGGCGTTTGCAATGTGCAGCCACACTACGCCGCTAACTCCTGGACACCATTGCACCGCAATCGCAGTCAGGAGACACGCCACGGATAATAACGCACCAGAAGCCAGAATAACCGTCATATTCATAGCACCCGTTTTTATCGTGTAAATCGCCACAATCAATGACGTAATATTATTCACCGCATTCAATGTATCCGTCATCGAAGGGTACGCAGGGTAATACTTGTCTCGAATATCAAACAATATGTTCAATACACAATTCCAGTAGAACAAATCGGCGAAACCTAACGCTAGAAAAACAAACTTGTGAAACCATGTAGCCTCGATATAGTCTTGCTGCTCCAAATCCCCATTGCACACTATACTCGTCGATCTCGTCGCAGAACTTATTTCCGATCTCCCCTTCTCCACCAAGCCATCATCATTGCCTTCTGACATTAATCTTTTTCGAAAAATTTTATTGCCGTTCTCTACATTGCTCGCACACACACTGAACACACCCTGAACACATTCCCTCAACATGGAGGCAATTGGGTCAATTGGGGCAGGTCTATGTTGAGGGGGTTGCTACGACGACAACAATCAAAGCAATTGTGAATCAATCATTCACGAAAAAAGAATGCCACTCCAATTATGCAACAACGATCTTCATGAGGGAAGTGTTACCGGCACCCTCCTCCTTGACTCCATGAACGGCTACCACTGCATCGCCAGTAGAGGCGAAACCACGAGCCTTCGCGGCCGCGACACCCTTAGCGATCAATGCTTCGGTGTCCTTGAAATCATCGGCAAGAACGGGAATCACACCTCTAAGAGTGGTCGTCTGAGCACAAGTTATCGGACAACTGGACACTGCAATGATCATCTGGCGAGGCTTGAACTTGGCAAGCAGTCTCGCGGTATAACCAGTCTGAGTCAGAGCAACAATTACAGAAGCGTTCACGTCCTCAGCAGACTCCACCGCAGAAGCCGCAATAGCTTCTGACACTCCCACCGGTCCCTTTGCCATCACGGAAGAGTGGATAGCCTTATACAAGGCCTTGTAGTCAAGGCAAGACTCCGCTTCCAGGGCAGTGTTTGCCAACATCCGAACAGCGTTCACCGGGAACTGGCCATTGGCCGACTCACCCGAAAGCATCACTGCGTCAGCA